CCGGGCAGGAGAGCAAAGTAAGGGGTTCTGCGATCGGAGTCGGACCATCAGATCCCAGGCATGGCGAACCTCCTGGGAAGGATGAGAGGGGCTGGTGACCAGCTCCAGGACCCCCGGCAGAGGATCTGGACCCCAGCCCCAGGCCCCTCCGCCCCACCGCCAGGCCCAGGAGTTTCTGTTATCTTGTTCGTAGGGAGTTTGTTCCCAGCCAGCTTCAACCCTGCTTTTCCAGACTGCTCAGCCTGTCAGGGCCCTGGGAGGTCCCAGGTTCCCTCCAGGGATGGGGTCCATGCTGAAGACCCCAGAGAGGAGAGGTGGAGGGATACAGGATGTTTCCCTTGTTCTCCAAACCCTGAAAGAACCTTCCCTCGGTTTGGCCAGCTTGTTGTGACAAGGGCGGGTCTGAGTGCCAGCGTGAGGCTGCCCCTCCTCCACTTAAGCAGGGTCTCAGCCCAGGCTGCCACTCCAGGCAAACTCCACCGACCTCCTTGGATCCCCTCTGTGCTGCTTTGACGGCAGGGTGGGGACTGGGATCCAAGGAGGAGGCTGGTGTGGGGGGAGGAGCCCTGAGATGCTTTTCCGGAGGCTCCAGGCTGCAAGCAGGGCTGAGCCCGGTCTCTGAGTCAGGATCTCTGTGGTCAGGCAGTTGTAGAAGTTGGCAGGGAGCGTTCTTCGGGGGAGTTAATTCAGATGTAAGTGGTTGCTGGGGTGCTTCGGTCCTGAGAGCAAAAGCCACGAACAGGATGTCGGTGTCTCCCGCACAGGGTTTCCCCAGCCCTACCCCCCCACCCCCACACACAAACCACCTCCCTCTCTGGTTCTCATGCTTGCAGGCGCGTGTGCACACACCTGAGCTTGAGACTGGGCCAGGGGGCTGGGGTGGGCGAGTGGCATCTTCATGGAGACCCCTAGGATTAGGGCGAGCGTCGGGGAGGACGGCTGGGGATGTCACAGTGACGAGTCTGCAGAGGTGGGTTTAAACCTGCAGTGCCATTCGGACGTTCCCAAGGATTTGCACTTGGGTGTGTAGAGTGCCAGGTGGGGCTGGGGGGAGCTTTCCTTTTCCTTGCCCTCAGTCCCAGCTACACAAAATTCCTGTTTATTGCTCCAGGGGCAGAGGACCTGGCTCTCCGCTGAGGGTGTGGTAGTGTTAGGCCCTGGGTTGTTTGTTTCTTTTTTTTTTTTTGAGACAGAGTCTCGCTTTGTTGCCCAGGCAAGAGTGAGTGCTGTGACATCAGCCTAGCTCACAGCAACCTCAAACTCCTGGGCTCAAGCGATCCTCCTGCCTCAGCCTCCCGAGTAGCTGGGACCACAGGCATGCACCACCATGCCTGGCTAATTTTTTCTATATATATATTACTTGGCCAATTAATTTCTTTCTATTTATAGTAGAGGCGGGGTCCCGCTCTTGCTCAGGCTGGTTTCGAACTCCTGACCTCGAGCAATCCGCCCACCTCGGCTTCCCAGAGAGCTAGGATTACAGGCCTGAGCCACCACGCCCGGCTAGGCCCTGGGTTTTGCAGTCAGACAGGATTCAAATTCTAGGTGCTTTACTTAGGAGTTACTGGGCAAGTTACTTAACATCTGTGGGCCTTGGTTTCCCCTTCTGTAAGCTGGAAACAATAATGCTACCTTCATTACCAGTTGTTGCTAGGATTAAATGAATTCACCCGTGTAAAACACTGGCTTTTGGTCCACAGTTGGTTGGATCAGCTGACGCAGAGCTTGTGGATAGGCAGGGCTGACTGTAGCTGTTATCCTCATCCTTGGTCCAAGGCATTTAGAATGGTGATTTGAGAAGAGCCCGGAGGCCGCAGGGAAAAGGTGCCACCTCCCTGGAAGCCGGTGGAGCTGAGTCCTCCCTGGGGAGGAGAGTGCAGTGGGGACGTTCTGTGGCTGGAGACGGAGCAGCTCGGTCCAGGCATTGACGGTCCTTGCAGACCGCCGTGTCACCAAGGAGGTGGCCAGGCCTCCATGGAGGGCAGGGAGGAGCTGGTGTTCTGCTGCAGGAATCCAGCGCTCGAGTCTGGGTAGGGAAGAGGGGTGAGCAAAGGGGGCCGGGACCCCAGCCCAGGCCTCTGCACCCTCCCGTCAGGCCCCGGGAGTGTCCGTTCCCCTCTCATTCCAGGGGGTTTCACAGCCAGCGTCACCTGTGCTTTTCCATGTGAGAGCCACACAGGTGCCACATCCAGGGAGGAAAGGGCCAGGCTGCCAGAGGACAGCTGTGCCAGGCGGGGACTTTACTGTCCTTTATGGTCCTAAAGCACTTTCACTTTTCACACCAATATCTCGTTGGCTCCTCCCACTTTCCCCTGTAGGTGGGACAGGTGCTCTCTCCATTGCAAAGACAATGGCAGCCATGCACCAGAGACCCAAACCCATTTTTTTAGATGTTCCTTCTCCCAGGAAGAGAGTGAAAGAGGGTTGTGCATCTTGGGAAGGACAGCAGCTTTTTTTTTTCTTTTCTTTTCCTTTTTAAAAGACAGGGTCTCTCTCTGTTGCCCTGTTGCTCTAGTCGAGGCTGGAGTGCAGTGGCATGATCACAGCCCACTGCGACATCGAACTCCTGGGCTCAAGTGATCCTCCCGCCTCAGCCTCCCAGAGTGCTGGGACTACAGGCGTGAACCACCACGCCCGGCCGGGACAGTGGCTTTATAAGAGAGCCAAGTTCTTTGATTTGAAAGGCCATGTGTTGCACATAGAACTTAAATTTTGTGTAGTTCTATCAACGTGGAGTAAATGCGTTGCTGTAATACCTGAAATAAATTTAGGCCAGCTTGATTTCAGGCATTTTTTTTTCCTGGGGGAAAAAAGGATTGTGCTGCTTAGATTCAGACTCAGCATTTAATCAGTGCCTTCTGTCTGCCTCACACTACGCTAAGTGCGGACATCATCTTACGTCTTCCTCACAAGAGACCTGAGAGTAGCTGTGATTAATTCCCCCATCTTATGCGCACGGACCCTGAGGACCAGGAAAATCAAGAGATGGGCTGTTTGCAGTCGCTGCAGGGAACAAGGCAGGAGAGATATGTTTAATTGCAGGGGAGGGTTTTCAGTCCGACTAGTGTGACTGTTAGATGTTGGGACGGATCATTTGAGGGAGACAGTGGACTGGCTCCTTGGGTAGGAGAAGTCAGAGGTTCTGAGGAGCAGAGTCCTGAAGGTGGGAGGCAGGGAACATGCGGGGAGACCCAGGCAAATGCAAGAGGACCTGTGAGCTGGAAAAGCCCCAAGGAAGCCCACGGAGGGGCCACCCTCCTCTGGCTCCCGAGTTGGGCCGGCTATTGTTTTCAATGGTGATTTCCAATAACTTTCCACCTTGGCAGAAATCGAGTCCATTGAGTGACTCCTGCCTGTAATTGGCATGGGCCACTTCCGGTTCTGGTGCGTGTGACTAGGCCACTTGCTTTGTGTTTAACCCCTTCCCCCATGTACATCTGCCCCCGCCCTGCCCCGCCCCCTCCCATACATATAAGGAGCGGGTGGATGACCCGGCCTCACTCGCAGTGTGCTGTGTGTAAAAATACGCGGGGTTGAGCCATTTCCTGCTGCTTCCGTTATTGCGTGGTGATAAGACACTGGGGACTCGGGTGTGGACAGAGATCCTCGGACGGGCCGAGGGGCCGGCCCCAGAGAGCTGGGCTCCAGGCCTGGCGCTTCCATCCGACCTCGCCCTTCCCATCTCTCCTATCTTCTGGGCCCTTTCCTTCCGTTCTCTCCCCCCCCCCCATCCTTTCTCGGCCTCTCTTCGCCTTTCCTTGACTCTCTGAGTTTTGTGCCACCCTGATGTGCTTGGGCAGCCGGACCGCCTGGTGGGGACTGGAGGGGGCTGTCATTTCCTTCCTCCGCATTCGCCCCCTGCAGAGCTGTGCGGCCGACACGCCCAGGCCCCCAGGCTGGCCCCTGCGTCCCTTGGCCTGTGAGTTACCTGGGGGGGCTTCAGTCCTCGGGGACCCGGCCGGCAGGGCGGGGGGGCGTGTGCTGCTGTGGCCACCCTGGGAGGCTGGGAAGGGCCGCCTGCTCCCGCCAGCATGAAGCGGAAGAGGTTGCCAGCCACCGTGGAGAGCTGGAAGGTACGCAGGGGCCCGGGAGAGGTGTCAGCAGAGGTGAGGTGGCCGGAGGAGGGCAGGGACATGTGGCATCCGGGTGTAGGCTTTGGTCACCTCTCTGGGAGATGCCTGCTCAAGGCAGGAGCCTTGTGGGGAGGTTGAGTCCAGAGAGACCGTTTATGGCATTGCTGAGAAATTGAGCCTCCAGGCTTCAGTGAGGCCTCAGACCTGCTTGGTCCATGCACTGGAGCAGTGAGGGGTCTGGGCTGGAGATTCTGTGTTTTCCCAGCTGTGTGTCCCTGAGCAACTTGCTTGACCTCCCTGGGCCAGAGGAGGTGATGACCCGCCTAGACTGCATTTGAGGGATGCTGTGGGGAGTGGGTAGGGAGCAGACATGAGACTCCCCTCATGAGCAGCCACCAGCGTGCAGCTGTGAGGGAGCGCTGCTGTGGGGCTGGTTGTATTCCTTTGAACTCTCTTTCCCTGAAGTTTCTTATTCACCTCGCACCCGTTTCTCAGGTAGAAAAACCAAGTCCTGCCGGACATGGTGGCTCACGCCTGTAATCCTAGCTCTCTGGGAGGCTGAGCGGGCGGATTGCTCAAGGTCAGGAGTTCAAAACCAGCCTGAGCAAGAGCGAGACCCCGTCTCTACTATAAATAGAAAGAAATTAACTGGCCAACTAATATATATAGAAAAAATTAGCCGGGCATGGTGGCGCATGCCTGTAGTCCCAGCTACTCGGGAGGCTGAGGCAGAAGGATTGCTTGAGCCCAGGAGTTTGAGGTTGCTGTGAGCTAGGCTGACGCCATGGCACTCACTCTAGCCTGGGCAACAAAGCGAGACTCTGTCTCAAAAAAGAAAAGAAAAACCACGTCCAGAGGCGTCCAGGGAGGGGCGTGCCCTGGGGCTCATGGTTTATCCGTGCTCCCTCTGCTTGCCTCCTCCCCCAGGTGGACAAGGGAGACCTGGTGGGCCTGAGCCTCCCTTCCGGCCCCGGCCACGGCGACACTGACGGCCCCGTCAGCCTGGACGTGCCGGACGGGGCGCCGGACCCCCAGCGGACCAAGGCCGCCATCGACCACCTGCACCAGAAGATCCTGAAGATCACGGAGCAGATCAAGATCGAGCAGGAGGCACGGGACGACAACGTGGCGGAGTACCTGAAGCTGGCCAACAACGCGGACAGGCAGCAGGCCTCGCGCATCAAGCAGGTGTTCGAGAAGAAGAACCAGAAGTCGGCCCAGACCATCGCGCAGCTGCACAAGAAGCTGGAGCACTACCGCCGGCGCCTGAGGGAGATCGAGCAGAACGGGCCCTCGCGGCAGCCCAAGGACGTGCTGCGGGACATGCAGCAGGGGCTGAAGGACGTGGGCGCCAACGTGCGCGCGGGCATCAGCGGCTTCGGGGGCGGCGTGGTGGAGGGCGTCAAGGGCAGCCTCTCGGGCCTCTCGCAGGCCACCCACACTGCCGTGGTGTCCAAGCCCCGGGAGTTCGCCAGCCTGATCCGCAACAAGTTCGGCAGTGCCGACAACATCGCCCACCTGAAGGACCCGCTGGAGGACGGGCCCCCCGAGGAGGCGGCCCGGGCGCTGAGCGGCAGCGCCACGCTGGTGTCCAGCCCCAAGTACGGCAGCGACGACGAGTGCTCTAGCGCCAGCGCCAGCTCGGCCGGGGCGGGCAGCAACTCCGGGGCGGGGCCCGGCGGGGCGCTGGGGAGCCCCAAGTCCAACGCGCTGTACGGCGCCCCCGGGAACCTGGACGCTCTGCTGGGGGACCTGCGGGAGATCAAGGAGGGACAGTCGCACCTGGAGGACTCCATGGAGGACCTGAAGACCCAGCTGCAGAGGGACTACACCTACATGACCCAGTGCCTGCAGGAGGAGCGCTACAGGTGGGCGCCCGCTCGGCCCCCCGCTGCCCCGCCGCGCCCGGGGGTGAGGCGAGGAGCACCAGGCTCCAGAATCGGGGGTGTGGAGGCAGACGGAGGAGCATCTAGGAGGCTCTGGGCCGCTGGAAGGGTCGGGGAGGAGGCCCCGAGGAGCCTTTCTCCAGACTGGTCAGGGCAGCTGGAAGACAGGATCTCGGGGCCCCGGGAAGGAAGGTTCCGCCCGTCTCAGGGTGATTTGAGGGCCCCTGCCTGGATTGTTATATGGTTAGTGCACAGAAGGGGAAACTGAGGCAGGGGCCAGCTGCACGGCCTCTCAGCTGGGGAGACTCTGGAGCCAGGTTACTTGGATTCACATCTCAGCTCTGTTATTTACTGTGCACCTTGAGCAAACTAGATAACACTCTCTGCGCCTGGTCTCCTTGTCCAAGAAGTGGGGATGCCATTGATCCCTGCCTCATAGGGTGAGTCCAAACCCGGACAGTCACATATGTAAACGTGCAGCATGAGACGTTCGAGCCTCCAGGCGAAGCCCTGAGGTCACCTGGAGTCAAGCTGGTGTCTGGCCCGCTCTCCTTCCCTCCCCCTTCCCTCCCGCCTCCCTTCCTCCTAGCCTGGGGCCCTGCTCTGCCGCTGGCTCTGGGCCTCTGGTCTGGCGCTTGGCACTTGCCATCCCTGGGGTTTAGGGGGATCTTTTCCTTATTTAGCACTTTTCCTTCTTTATAAGAAAAGCGTGAAGGAGGCTTGGAAAATTGAGGGGGAACCCTGCCGAAACACTCACCGCCCCCTACAACCGTGGTCTGGTGACATTCTGTGCCTTCGGAGCAGGGACCGTGTCCTGCCCATCCCTGTGTCCCTGGCACCCAGGCGAGCATCTCAGCCGGGGGCTTCAGAGCCCAGGCTGACGTCAGTCGGTCCTTAGCCGCCCCATTCACGAGCTGCGTGGCCCCGGGCTGTCCCTGAGCCTCTGTGCTTCAGCTGTGTCCTCCTGCAGCGGGGGGTGGGGGGGCGGCGCGAGTACCCATCTCCCGGGGTCATGGGGAGGCTCCCGCTGGGGGATGTGGGTGAAGCGTGTAAGGAGTGCTGTGTACATAGCAGGCGTCCATTGTTGTGGCTGTTAAAATTAGAACAGGGCCGGACACGTGGGGTGAGCTGAGTCATCGTTTGTTGAGGGAATGAATGAGTCGGCTCTGGGAGACAAGGGCCGCCTGGGGCGCCGGGACCGGTGTCACCCCTTCTCCCTCCGCCAGGTACGAGCGGCTGGAGGAGCAGCTCAACGACCTGACCGAGCTCCACCAGAACGAGATGACCAACCTGAAGCAGGAGCTGGCCAGCATGGAGGAGAAGGTGGCCTACCAGTCCTACGAGAGGGCTCGGGACATCCAGGTATGCCCGGGGGCGACCTGGGAAGGTCCCTGCCGTGCTGGGAGAGCGGGCAGCAGCAGAGGGTCGCAGTTCTTATCTCGAGGGGGATGGAGGGCGCAGGCTAGGCCGTTGGCGGGGCAGATAGCACACGGATAGACAGGGCGGTGTGGGATTGGGTAGAGATAAGAGCGAGGTGGGCCTGAAGCCCACAGCGTGCACTGTGCAAAGGCCAGGGCCAGGGCTACCCGTGCCCCTTCCTCCTTGGTGGCAGCCTTGCAGATGGGTCCTTGGCACTGCCAGGCTCTAGCCTGCCCCGAGACGGAGCTGGGAGCGGGCCGGCCCCTCTCCTCCCTATTAATCAAGACTCCCGTTCCCTAGCATCCTCCCAGACAGTCATCACCACAGGGCTCTGCTCGCAGCTACTGCCCATCGGCCTGCGCCCCTCCCGGCCTTTGGAGAGGGGGCCCTGTGTATTATCACCTCCTTGGAGGGGCAGGCAGGGCTCCGCCCGGGGGTCCTGCCCGTGCCGAGCCCCCACGTGCCAACCCCTCTGCCCCTGCAGGAGGCCGTGGAGTCCTGCCTGACCCGGGTCACCAAGCTGGAGCTGCAGCAGCAGCAGCAGCAGGTGGTGCAGCTGGAGGGCGTGGAGAACGCCAACGCGCGGGCGCTGCTGGGCAAGTTCATCAACGTGATCCTGGCGCTCATGGCCGTGCTGCTGGTGTTCGTGTCCACCCTCGCCAACTTCATCACGCCCCTCATGAAGACGCGCCTGCGCACCACCAGCACCGCCCTCCTGGTCCTCGTCCTCTTCCTCCTCTGGAAGCACTGGGACTCCCTCACCTACCTCCTGGAGCACGTGTTGCTGCCCAGCTGAGTGGCCGGCCCGCCCCGCCCCTGTGCTCTCCGGCCCCCAGCTGGCCGCCTTCTCCAGGAGGGACCCCGGGACTTCTTGGCGTCTCCGGTTTGGCCTCCTGCCCAGACTGTCCGTTCCAGCAGCTCCTGCCCCCCCGTTTGTACTTGCTTCTGTCGGACACCTTCTCCCCGTCAGCCCGGGGGAGTCTGGAGTGCAGCAGCCCTGGCTGGAGACAGTGCAGGCTCCTGGGGCCAAATGGAGCAGAGGACGCTGGGGTTGGGGTGTTTTGGTTATTTATTGTCACACAAGGACTTTTCCCAGCTGACCTGGGGATGCCCTGGGTCAGGAAGGCCACTAAGAATAGGAGAAGGAGAGGGCTCTGCCTCAACTTCCCCGGGGAAGAGTCCACCGTGGAGAAGGTCGGGATGAAGGCAAGAGGGCAGGGAAGGAGGCTCTGCCGGCCCAGAGGGTGCCGGGAAGGCAGGGGTCCCTCGGCTTCAGGTGCCTCCAGGGCCAGAGAGCAGGCTCAGAGCGGCTACTGCAGCGGAGCTCGGGCCCCCACCCCTCTTCCCTCCAGAGCTGGTTCGAGGCTGGACCCTCCTGTGATTCGAAGGATGCTGGCTCTGGAGGTCAGGTGCGATGTGGCTTTGGACTCGTGTTTCCCCTGCCGTTCCTTCTGCCTGTCGCCGGACCTGCTACTTTCAGGGAAACAGGCCCCATGGGCCCTGAGCCTTGGCCTAAGCCCTTAGGCCTCTGGGAGCATGTTGGGTTTTATTTATTTATTTATGTGTCCCGTACCCCATAGCCCCCCCATCTTCCCCGCTGAGCTCCAGGGAGAGGTCCGCCCTTCCTCTCTCTGCAGCCAGGGCTGACTCTTGTCTCCTCGGGCACTTCCATACCATGTAGCCCCTAGCTGATCCTGGCTGGGAGGAGTGGGACCAAGCCACCCTGCCCCATTCTCTCGAGGCAGCCCCTAGCCGGGATGGGATGGGAGGAGCGTGGCCTCTCTTTTATACATCTATTTATTTTGTGAGTGTGTCTCTGTGTGGAGGAGGTTGTTTGTTGCTTTATTTTTTTTAAGGCTCTGGAGTGTTGTGTATGGTTTCTTTTCACCTCCCGGCCTCCCCGAGGGCATTTCCGAGAAAGAGAGGGGATTTCTCCGCAGAGGCCAGGAGAGTCCCCTGGGACAGGGAGAGCAGTGCCTGCCAGCTGTCATGCGCCCTCCCCCAGAAATAAATATCCTCTAAATTTTCAAACCATCCTGTCTGGTGCTGGTTGATTAGGTTGTCTCTGTGGGAAACCCCGCGCCCGCCCCCCATGGCCACGCTCTCTGGGCAGCTCAGGCTGGGCCCCACCTGTTGGCTGGCGCCTTGTTCTTCCAGGATCCACATCGGACTAGGCATCATCCACCCTTCCCGCCTGGCTTCGTGCAGCCACAGCTCTGGAGTAAGTGACGCTTCCGGGAGGGATGACACCCACCCATCCAGCCCTCCCAGATTGCTCTCTGGGTGGAGAGGAATTGGAGGAGAGACTTCCATAGCCTTAGCGTGGAGCAGATGAGCTGCCCGAGGCCTGGACGACAGCAGTCGTGCCCAGCCATGGCCACGAGAGGGCAGCAGAGTCCTTACTCTAAGCCCTTCTCAGGGTTCAGTCCCAAAGAGGGGCTGCTGGAGTTGTCATAGCTCAGCATTGCCAGTGCCATGCGGCCGGGGCACGTGGCACCTGCTCTCCGGGAGCTAGAGCACGGTGTTGTGCATAGCGACCAGGTCCTCAGTGTCCGCTCTGTGGCTGCAGCCCCCTCCCCTGGCGATTCCCCCAGAAGGACCTGGATTCCCAGCAGGAACCCCACAGGAGTCTGGGAGAGGCCGCCTGGGTCTCCCCACTGGGGGAAGGAGGAGGAAGAGATGCTGACCTCCAGCGTCATGGGGGAACAAGAGGGCTTATGGGAAAGCACCCAGCCCGGAGCCAGAGACCCAAGTCCTGGCCTGTAATTAGTGCACCTGCAGCCAGCTCACATCCCCTCTCTGGCCTCAGTTTCCACATCTGTAATATAGGATGTGAATATTCCGCGGTGCTGCTGTATTTGTGGCCTCAGGCTCCAGGAGACTCCAAGAGTCACGGACAGTGGCCTAACCGGATTGGAGAGGACACTGTGCTGGCGCCACAGGTAGGGTGGCATTGACCGTGTGACATCTTCACCCTCTGTACGATGTAGAAGTGGCACAGATGACCTTACCGGTGCCTTCCAACAGTGTCATTCCGGGATCCTGCACACACACCCCTGGGGAGCCGCAGGTGGCCTGGAGCCCACATTCCTGGGCCCAGGTGGGGGGTGGCCGTGCCAGGCTGCAGACATTTCCCACATTCCTCCCCAAGGTCAGGTGCCTTCCCTGAATTGAATGTCACTGCCAGCCACAGTCCACACTGAGAGGGAGGAGGAAAGTGGGCGGGGGGCTGGTCATTCTTCGCTGATCCTGAGGCTGCAAAGCAAACCGGGGAGGTGGGGAAAGGTCAGCCCTGGTGGGGTCATCTGCAGTGAGCACAGAACACCAGCCCGTGTGCGCCTCGTCGTGACAGCGTGTCTGGTAAAGCCGGCCTGTCTGGGAGTGGGGTTCTGTTCCCTGATAGTGGCTGATGCTTCCTTGTTTGTGTCTGCGCCTCAGCCCCCTCTGTAAACGGGGGTGAGTTACCCCGATCCCTCCCCAGGCTCCTCCTCCCACCTGGGGTTCACAAGGTGAGGCATGCCTTGCCCAGAGCGTCTGTCCTGGAGGCCCAGCCCCTCCCCAGGAGGCCGGAGGGCCCAGCTGGGCCGGTGCTCTCCCCCCAGCCCGGGTCTGTCCAGGGTGGAGGCAGCTGGGAATTCATCTCCACCTGGAGCCGGCGCTGCTCTGCTCCGGCAGCACCCAGCAGGCAGGTGGCTGGCCTGGGCGGGCGTGTTTACCGTGCCCGTGCAGCTCTGGCATCCCCCCCCCGGCCTGTTGGAACTGTGGGGCTGCAACAGGTGCAGCGTGGCAAACACTGAAGCCAGCACTGGGCAGCGGGAGGGGACTTAACCCCTGCCAGCCCGGGTCCAGAGTGGTTCTGGGCTGCAGAGGGAGGGAGGGGAGAGGAGGAGAGACTTGGGGCCACAGGGTGGGAGAAGAGGGGAGCTGTAGCTGGGGCACCTGGAGGGATCTTCCTGGCAGGCTTAGTTCCCCCTTAAGTGAAGTCTGGACCCCAATATGAAGGGGCTGGCAGACCCGGGCTCAAATCCCAGCACTGCCACTCACCTGGCACAAGGTCCTAGCGGCTCTCAAACCAGTCTCCTCATCTGCCAGGAGGAACAGAAATGACATTGGCTCACAGGAGACACGACGCCCTGCCTGTTCCTGACCATGTAGGATGTTCAAATGCGGAACTGCTCAGAGAGGTCTAAGGTTGACCCTGCAGAGCGTGCAGGGTGACGGCGACTGAGTGGGTCTCAGCCTCCGACCCCTAAAGGCCCCGTACAGGCCCTCGAGGTCCCGCTTCCTGGGAGCCGGAACCTGATTATCCTCAGCGGCCTGTCCCCTCAGTCTGGTAGACAAAGCCAGCCGCGTCCCAAGAGGCCAAGCCGCAGCTTGAGCGAGGACGGGTTAGGCCTGCCTGGCCCCGGCCGACTGCCCCCCGCCCCCGCCTGGCCCTGCAAGTGTATCACTGTGCGGCCCCTCCCGTCCTCTGACCGTGGTCCCAGGTGTGGGGCCTGGGCACAGCAGGAATCAGCATCGGGAGGCCGGGTCTGAGACTGTGAAGCCACGTGTCTCAGTCTCCCCACCTGGAACACAGGGATAATGATGCCTGCACCCAGCTGACAGGACCCTGGTGAGGCTCAGAGATGACAGGAGTGAGTGCCTGCCCCACAGCATCCCCGTCCTCCCCCTAGGGGAGCTACCTGTCAGGATGCCGCCAAGCCATCTGGGGCCCCCAGGAAGGGCTCTGATCTGCCCTGGGGGCAGGGCCGGGCAGGGCCTGGAGAAGTGGCCAGCAGGGACCCCTGGCCCGAAGGCTTGCAGCCAACCCCCAGATGCAGGTGGAAGGAGGAAGCCCGGCCCCCAGCAGGCCTGCTGGGATGGACTGTGGGGACCGAGGGACCTGTCTCAGCACATCCAGACCTGCTGGCAGCTCCTGAGTCACCCGGGCAGCCAGAAGGGCAGTCTGGGGGTGACAGCAGCACTGCCTCCCGTACCAGGGGCCTCCTCACCGGCAGTCCCTGCCGTTGGTCCCCCTGCCCCTGAAAGTCCAGAAGCAGCATCCTGGGCCCAGTGCCACCTCCACCATGCCCCTGCCTCCAGGCAGCCGTCGCCAAGGTCGCTCTGATTCCAAAAGCGCTAGAGGTGACTCCGCGGGATCTGGGTGCCCGGGCTCTGCACGCCGCCAACCTCCCAGGCTAAAGGTTCTTTGTCGCCTTACTTTGGTTATTCTTGCAACGATTTCAGCTCACTGAAGACAAGCAAAAGCCAACGCTTAGAAAGATGTGAGTGTTTCTCTGGCTGGTCTGGGGGCTCTGGTCTCTGCCTTCCTGCAGGAAGACCAGGCCTCTCAGAACCACCCTAGGTAGGGAACCGCCCATGTCTGCCCGGAGCCGTCTCTGGCTATAGCTGGAGTTGGGGCCTCCTGTCTTTTTAATAGTTGAGGCCAGCCCCAGGCACCCAGACTTGGGGTGAAAGTGGGGAAGAGAGGATTTCCCATGAAACGCGTTGTTAAATGAGCTCATGCAAGAGGCAAGAGACAAGTCACCAACATGCACGTGTAACGTGTTTCTGACTGGTGTCCTCCTCCTCACCTTCTCGGCCAGGTGGGGCAGGGCCAGGCCAGGGATGGGGAGGCCCGAGAGATGGCGTGCGGGCTGCCAGGGGAAAAGGGGCCAAGGAGGGGTCCCCATCCTGCTTCCCCATTTCCTCCTCTGCGGGTCTTAGAGCTCATCGTGGCTTGGCAGGCTGGAGTCCAGGCGTGTGACCCCCAAGCCACCCGACTTTAGGTTCAGTGAAAGTCCAGAAATACAGTTTTGAGCTCTGGCTCTGTGTCAGGCACTGGAGACACAGGGACCCTGTCCTCATGAGCTAGTGGGGACACGCCCCCCCACACTGATACTGAGGCCGGCAGAGATCAACGCTGCCACAGGGCCTGGGGGGCCAGGGAGGGCCAGGGAGACAGCATGTCGTTCTGCTGAGGAGCTCTGGGGAGGTTTCTCGGAACGCTGGAGAAAGGGCGCGAGTGTCCCGTAGCAGGATGGCTTTGGTCGGGCCCTGGCGTTGGGGTGGGACGGAGGTGCCCGCGCATGAGTGGCTGTGCGGTCGTTTCAGGCACTGGCATTGCCCGGCCCACCTCCCAGAGCACAGGGTTCCGGGAAAAGGGGCTTTGAAGGGGCAGGGATGGGGACAGCTTTCTAGACGGAGGGAACTGCACCCCCAAACTTCGGGGACTTGGGGACTGGAGAGGGGTCGTTTGCACTGGAAGGCAAAAGGGCAGGTGAGGGGACTTCGGGAGAGGAGGGACAGGGAGAACGGGGCTGCCTGGAGTTCTAGGGCTGGGGGGGCTGACCTCAGAGGTGCGGTGGGACACAGAGCGGGTCACATCACCACTCTGGGCCTCGGTGTCCCCACAAACGGAGAACTTGGGGGTGGAGAGGTTGGCATGGCCAATGAGTCACCCGCCCCTGGGGTCTCTGGGAAGAGCCAAGCAGGTGTCTCCGCGGGCGGCCGACCCAAGCGCAGGCTCCCGGCAGGGCAGGGGGAGCTCGGGTGGGGGCCGTGCACAGGGGCCCATGCTGACAGTGGAGTCACGGTGGCGGGAAGTGACAACGGGCTGGGTCCTGTTCTCCAACCACCATGGGGGTCCCCACTGCTGGCCGCCCAGCCCCCCCCCAGAGAAGCACGAGATGAGGGGAGTAGTGAGATTTGGGCTCCCCTGGGCTCTCCTGGTCCCCCCTCCCCAGGATGGGGTCATAGACGAAAGAGATACCCGGCTCCCCTCTCTGCTTGGCAGCTGCAAGATTACAAAGGAGGTGGCTTCCACGCAGGGCCGCCGTCTCCTCTGGTATGATTTGAGGGCGTGTGGGAAGGCCCCACCCCGGCCCAGAGTCATGCCAATATGAATCCTTTTTCTGTCTAGGGCCTTACAGCTAACAAATGCTTTCTGTGCGCTCTGATTCATTTTGTAAGCCTCACAGGAACCCTGGAGGGTGGCCGGGAGGTGTCATTAGACTCCTCCGTTTCACAGATGAGCAAGCTGAGTCTCGGAGAGACGACGGCAGGAACTCACTCACGGACACACAGCTGGTGCTCGGTGGACCCAGGACGGACCCGGCTTTGGCGACAATGCCGTTGCCCCAAACCGAAGCCTGGCCAGCCGCGGTCAGGTTAAGTGTTGCTCCTTCTCATGCCGATGCAGCCGCCCATTGGTGTGGGTGAAACCCGCACCATTCTCCTCTTAGTATGAATTAGTTCATCCCACCAAACACTTCCCTGCTCTGCAGGAGAGAGACAGGGTTGAAGTTTGGGAAGTTAACAATCACAACCGCCAGCCGGGCGTGGTGGCTCACGCCTGTAATCCCAGCACTCTGGGAGGCCAAGGTGGGCGGATTGCTCAAGGTCAGGAGTTTGAAACCAGCCTGAGCAAGAGTGAGACCCCGTCTCTACTAAAAATAGAAAGAAATTAACTGACCAACTAAAAAATATATACATATAAAAAAAATGAGCCGGGCATAGTGGCGCATACCAGTAGTCCCAGCTACTCGGGAGGCTGAGGCAGGAGGATCGCTTGAGCCCAGGAGTCTGAGGTTGCTGTGAGCTAGGCTGACGTCACGGCACTCACTCTAGCCTGAGCAACAGAGTGACACTCTGTCTCAAAAAAAAAAAAGAATAACGACCCCCTTCAAAGAGGCAGAAAGGGAAGACCAGACTTCTACAAATTCCACTGACTTTCTATTTTTCCCCCCAAATAGAAAGTCCTTTTAGGGTTAGGGTGAGGCTTCTTTAGCCAGGAGCCTCACTCAGACCCCAGAGGGGAACGGCTGGAGGGGTGTCCAAGAACCATTCGTTCTCCTGTCCCTCAACCCCGCAGGAGTCTCTGCCTTGCATGGGACATGGGGCACGCAGGGGTGCGCCAGACAGAGACTCCCTCTCCTCGAACATCTCGAAATCCATCCTGAAAGACGGAGAGAAAAATAGGTCGATGGCAACACAGCCCGGTGACTGCCAGCATGGAGTCAGGGTCCGAGGAAGGACGCAGAGTGACGTAGGCCGCCTCCACCGCGACACGCTCTTCACCCACTCCAGCACCTCAGCAGCCCTCCAGCCAGAGAGTCCTTTCTGTCACCTCCCTTCAGTTTCCCTCGCCCCCAGGGCCCGGTGCCCCTGACCGTGGCCGATGACCCCACCCTAGGTCTCAGCAGCTAGAAGACAGACTCTTACGGACTCCCCGGCTGATACTCCCATCATACAGATGAAGAAACTGAGGCCCAGAAAGGAGAGGTGACCCGTCCGAAGTGCCCCCAGCACAGGGGTGCCGAGCCCGGGTTCTTTCTCACCCACTGGAGGCGGCTCTGCCACGAGGCGCCCACACCGGGAGGGGACTGCCTGGAGGAAGGGACAGGGGCCCTGTCTCCACGACGAGCAGAAGACACCGTGCAGCCAGGGCAGGGACCGGGGCGGCGGGAGAAAGCTCGAGGGGTGCAGCGGGTGACCAGGCGGGAGGCTCAGCCCGGCACCGTCATGCACGGTCGTCTTACCGCACTCCTGAAAGGCAGGGCCGCGGAGACCTACATTTGTCAAAATTAAATAAAGTTCGAAGCTCAGCTCCTCGGCTGCACTCGCGGCAGTCAAGTGCCCGGCAGCCACCGCGGCTGGTGACGGCAGTGTCAGTGGGAACGGGGAACATTCCCAGTGCGGCGGGACACTGTTCCTACGGCACTGCGCCGTTCCACGCTCGCATGCCATCGCGTTTGAAGAGCATCTCTCTAGTTCCGCCGATGCACGTGTGCTGTAGGAAACTGCACAAGGACGCGACCCTGGAGTCATAGTGGTCCCCACCTACTATCAGCATTTGACGTGGGTCTGTCCAGTCTTTACTCTTCATGGAAAAGAAAATCCAAATGATGCGCAGTCGTTGTGAAAGATGCAAACGCTATGGGGGCATAGAGAGTAAAAATGTTGTCCTTTAACCCCCCCACACCAGATGCCAGCCCTGGGCACACATTCTTCTTGAGTCTGAGCCCCCACCCCCACCTCCCACCACCTGCCATCCCATGGCCCCGGGGAGCCCCTTTAACCACAGAACCCCCATTTTGCTCGCCCCACCTGTTGTTCGAGACTCTAGTCGACTGCCCCAGACGCGGCTGAGTGTCCTGGGGGTGGGGGCAGGTGTCTGCACTCAGAGCAGCCCTCTCCGCCCCGCCTTCCGACCCTCATCAGCGACCCTCATCAGCGTCCTCTGCCTGAGAAGCCCCTGTCTCCTGTCCCCACCAGCCCCGTTCCCTGCACCCTGCAAGGCCAGGGCAGGGCCCAGGGGAAGGGCACTGTGGCCTTTAACCTCGCCTCCTACCTTGCCTCCTACCTTTCTCACATCCATGGCAGCCAGCAGCAGTCCAGCGAGCTGTCAAGACCCAAGCTCTCTAGGTCTCAGGTTTTGCACACAAAGAAGGGAGATGACATCTACCTCAAAGCCTTGCTGTGAGAGTTGTAGGGGAGGCAAAACTGGGCCTCTGACCTCCTAGGGTCCTCAGCTGGGCCTGAGAATTAAGTTTACATAAGAAGATCGACAGGAGAAGAGCACGTAAGTCTTAGTTTACACGTACATGGATGTCCTCTCAATAAAATGAGGACCCCGGGCCGGGCGCGGTGGCTCAGGCCTGTAGTCCTAGCACTCTGGGAGGCCGAGGCGGGAGGATCGCTCGAGGTCAGGAGTTCGAAACCAGCCTGAGCAAGAGCGAGACCTTGTCTCTACTAAAAATACAAAGAAATTAATTGGTCAACTAAAAATATATAGAAAAAATTAGCCGGGCATGGTGGCGCATGCCTGTAGTCCCGGCTACTCAGGAGGCTGAGGCAGGAGGATCGCTTGAGCCCAGGAGTTTGAGGTTGCTGTGAGCTAGGCTGACACCACGGCACTCTAGCCCAGGCAACAGAGTGAGACTGTCTCAAAAAAAAAAAAAGAAGAAGAAGAAATGGCAACCCCCAAACGTGTATATAATAGGTTGAACAAAGAGTAGCAGTTGGGGGAAAGTAGCTAAAATGTACGGGGAGGCTGAGGAAGATGGGGGTTATTTAACAAGGTCTGGCTGTAGGGAGTTTTCTCAGCCCCAACTCCCTGTCCCTGGGGACAAGAATGTTTCTTTTCCCCTGATACACAGAGAAAGGAGGAGGTCAGAGTGTCCCTTTTATATCAGCTGCTTTTCAAATGCCTTGTGCCGAAGCGGCATATTTTGGGGTGGCATATTTTGTCCGTCTTCGGAGATAAATGAGATGATACATGCGAGACATTTTGCACGCGAGATGCTTATTACAGATGAGAAAACCGGGCCAAGGAGATCCAGGCACCTCTCAAGGTCAGGAGGTTGAGAAACGCAGGTTCTAGCCCACATGTGTTTGGCGGCAAAGCCCACCCTGCTGCCCACGGGTGTCTGATTCCGGTCCCACCTCACCCCCTAAGCACCAGAATAATCTTCCTTCCGCCCAGACAGAAGTGAAGCTTTGACAGAGGCCGCAGCAGGGGAGCTGCAAGGGGCCCAAACCTCAGACCGATCCTAAGCCGGAGGCCTGCAGGGGGCCTGGGAGCTGAGCAGTCCCCTTCCACGGAGTCCTCTGTCCCCCACCTGCCACTGCAGCCTGGGCACCCCTGCTGCAGGTGCCTGGCCTCTGTGATCTTGGTTTCCCCAAATGTGTAACCCTGACAGCCTGTCCTGCTGTGCTTCTGTGACCCCCACCCGCCCAAGGAGACATCAGGGACCCCGACTCCGGCTTGACCGGGAGCAGAATGTGGGCTCTGCCGCGTGGGCCGGACCAGGCTCGGGAGGAGGTAGAGGCACCGTGGGCACTGACCCAGAGTCACCCTGCTCTCCCCAGGCTTCCCCGGGGCCCTCAGCGAGGGTGGGGTGCTCGCCAGGCCTGCTAGGTGAGAGCAGGTTTGGAAGGAGGCTTAGGCGGGGTGCGGAGGGAGGGTGCGCCTGCCCGGCTCCGAGGTGATCACGGGAGAGGGCACGCCCGCCGGCTTCCCCCGCCGTGCCAGACAGGGCAGGGCCCATCTCACACGCTCTGGGCCTCCGGGCTCCGCGGTGGGACCACCCCAAGCCCCTTGGCAAGGTGTGAGCAGAGCCGGACGCCCTCCCCTGCACACCACCCAGTGCCGGCTCCCCAGCCTGCCTTGCTGGGCGGTGGGCAAGGAGGGCAGGGGACCCGCATCCCAGCTGCCCCCAGAGCTGCGAGGACAAGGGTGGGGAACCTGTCCCCACAGGCCCAGCTGGCCAGAGGCCTTGCCTCCCCCAGCTGCCTCCCCCAGAGGGAGCAGGAACAGACAATGGCCATGGGTGACTCACCAATGAGCCATCGTTCATCCCCACCCGCCTGGCCCACGACAGCCCAGCTTGTCCTCACGGAGCTGGAGACCCGTCTTCAGGGGCTGCCGGCCTCCTCTCTCCTCACCCAGCCCCGTTCCCCTGCTGTGCAAGACCACATCAGGGGCCCAGGAGGGTGATCCAGTGGGGAGGGGCTGCGGGGGACCCAGGCGGTCAGAGCAGAGTCCTCCCGTAAAGGCAGGTAGTGACCACTGGGGCCCTAGTGACATCTGGCTGCTTTCCCCTGCTCTGCCCCATGATGCATCACTCACTCTCCCAAACCACAGGGGAGTGGTCACTGTGATTCCTTCCTGCCCTTACTGGACAGAGCTTGGATCCTGTCTGCAATTTACTCCCTCCTACAACATGTGGAGCAGTGGGGAGTCCCATTTCACTCCAGGTGGGACAAGGTTCACTGTTAGAAAGTATTTCCTTTTGCTAAGTTGCTATCTGCCCCCCTGTAGCACCCACCAGTTGGCACTTCTAGAATTTAGTGTCCACTCCCAATCCCCACGTCCCCTGTGTTCTTTGCTGTGAGCTATGAAATACCCTCATTTCTTTCAGTTGTTCCTCCTAAAACATGCTTTCACAGGCCTTTTGACAGCTCGGCCCAAGTCCTCTGGATACATTTCTGTTTATCCAGGTTCTTCTTACAACATAGTGCCCTGAACAGAGTATGGCGCTCCAGCTAAGATCAGGCTAGCATAGAGGGTGCAGATAAATGTCACCTAGGCTCTGGGGCTTGCAGATCTCCTGAGCTCTGTGGCTTGCTGGCCTGCACCGAACTCAGCGTCAGTGAAAACTTCCTTGGTGCTGTTGGACCCATTGGGCCAGGCCCATGCTGAAAGGTGTGCTGAGGTCACCCCAGCCTGCATGACTGTCGCCTCCAAGGCTCAGAGGCCCCTCTGCCTACCTGGGGGTGGGGTGGGGTTTCCTGGCAGACGACCTCCTGTGGAGAGAGCCTCCGGGCTCAGACAGTGGCTCTTCACAGGTTTTCAGTTGTGGATTCCCTTGTGGGTCCCATGAAAACTCTTCCCAGAAAAATGTACCCACTTGAAAATCCCCCATATGTCACCATGGCTCTCTACAGACCACTGGCTCTGATAGGAACCCCCATCTGGAAGCAGATGCCCCCAAAATAAACTCTGAGGCAGCTTCCCTGTTCCAACTGTGGGACTCAGGGCACGTTCAAAGTCATAGCCCCTTTCACTAGCGCTGTGCTCGACAGCTTACGATGTATGTCCATACTCATCGCCAGCGACAGACCCTAGAGTCTGGATTATACTTGTGTGAATAGGAGGTCAAGGCCCAGAGAGGTCCAGCGACTTGCCCAAGGTCACACAGCCAGTCCAGGCAGAGTCACCCCAGACTCTCCTACCCACATGGAGCCTCAGAGAAGCCCAGCACAGTCTGCCCGCCAGTGGGGAAGATACAAGGAAAGGCTGCACCTGGCTGCCGGGGAGACTGGTCTGAGCTGTGCCCAGCTGGCTCCCGCTGCTCCTTGGAGGCACGCCCCACGTGGCCTTGGTGCTGAGCTGTGGCTTTAGCAGCCTTCCTCCTGGCAGAGGCAGAGAAGGGGCCGGGCTGCCAGGCTGTGGCTTGTCAGAGGGGAGGGACAAGGGAAGACACCAACCGGGCCTGGATCCCAAAGCCCAGGAACCCAGGGGACAGAGAAAGAGTCCCTGGCCCCTGCCTGTCCCAAGAAAGCAGACACCTCCCTGGGCAGGAGCACACACCCAGGGCGGGGGTGGGAGTCGGACAGAGAGCCATGCTCTGTGTGCATGAGGTTCACACACGGGCACCACGCTGACCACGTGAGGTCAGTTTTCAAATTTCCAAGGATGTCTTCCTCCCTAAGAACCTCTCTCCTTGGCCCAGAAAACTCTTCAGCCTGCAAGGCCCGACTCCCTCCCTCCACAAAGCTCTCCCCAGTGCCCAGTGGAGGAGGGGCTTGCTCCCTGCCCAAGGCCCTGTGGACCCCGCTCAGGCACTGTCTAGTCACCGTCCGACTCCTCTGAAGACCGTGCCCGTGGCAGGCTGGAGCTCTGGACTCGACATCTCACCCCCGCCCCTGGCAGTAGGGGCTCAAAGCCCTTTTGTTCAATTCTGCCTGCGCTTGTTCTGTGACTTCAGGCCGAGTCTAAAACCTCTACAGTCAAAGAAGGCCAGCGCCCACCAACCGTTCCTGCTCAGGTGGAAGCCAGCGTGGCCCTTAGAGACCCTCTGAAGAAGCATCTAACAGCCGTTCTCAGGCTGTGATGGGTGACAGAGAAAGTTCAGGGGAAAATAAAAACTGTCATTCTTTTTTATCTTTCCCCAAACCAGATTCTTTTCCTTTGCTCCAGCTGGCAAAGATGTCTGGGCAGAGAAAAGTTCCGGGGCTCGAAGTGTAGCTCTGCATGCAGCTGGGTGAGTCCCATCCTCTGCTGTTGGTTGCTGGGAGCAGGGCGCAGGCTTGCAGGCTTGCAGGCTGCTGCTTGGGCCTGCGAGGATTAACTCTTATCACAGTGAGTCCATGAATTCCTATTGGCTGTAGGTATGTCTCTTCCACCACGGGACTTCCAGGCTGCGGAGGGCAGGGACCACATTTTATTCAATTTGGGGTCTCCAGGGCCTGGCACAATGCCAAGCACACAGTA